GGGGGGGGGGGGGCGAGTCAACGGAGTGTGTCGTGTGCGGACAGCAACCCGCAATCGCCGTGAAGCGCGCCGCCGCGTGCTCCCTCACCCGAGAGGCCTCTCACAGGGGGGGTGTTTCCCGAGCGCCGAGAGGCGCGTCTTTGCGGTTTTTGTGCGTGCCTTCGTGTTTCTTGTTTTTTACTTGGCCGCGCAGCCGGCGCGAGACTCTCCCGCGTCCGGGGTGTCCACAAGACCTCGCGCCGCCGCCGCCGCCGCCGCCGGGGCGGGGACCTCTCACACTCGCTCTCTGCTCTCTCCGGAGAAGCTCGAGAGAGTCTGCCTACTGGGCTGGGGGGTCTTTAGGCATTGTGGGGTTGGCACTCCCATCGACCCTCATGACCTCCTGCGGTCTCTGAGATGGACACCAGTGGGTGTGGGACCACAGCCAGGATACACTCGAAGGCTGGGTAAGCAGTAGAGGTCGATACTCGACGCGTCCCACATGGTCTGTGTCGCTGTCGGCACGCTGTCGACAGGACGTCGAGCGACACCGGTGGCAGTGCCACCCAGGAGTGGTCGGTCGCTCTCCCGTCATGAGAGAGCCACCATGTGATCCGTATGATGATTCCTGACAACCGCCTCAGTCAACTTTCGTCACAGTTCCCGCTCTGAGAGGAGCTGCGGGTCAGCTCGACAGCTGGAGCTGTGTCGCCGGCGTGCGGCGGCCTGCCTCCGGAGGTGCCTCTGAGGTGGACATTTTTTGGTCACCGTGAGAGAACGCGTTCGAATTTTTACTCGGGAGTTTCAACTCCGCACGCGCACCGGCCAGGGCTACAATAGTGCCAGTGAGGCGGAGGCGCGAGTCGGAAGGCCGCGACCGTCAAGTGGTCCCCCAATTTTCCTACAATCGCTGTCGACCCAGCCACGTACTGCCAAAGACCGCCGCGCGGGACTCCGGGAGAGGTGCGTCCCAGTTGCAGTTGCAAGAGATCCTCTCCGCGCCCCGCCTTTTACATGGTTAGTAAGACTCCCCTGGGCACAGCGCACAGCCGGTGTGACGCTCACATATACTGGAAAAGAGAAGAGCCTGAGTGCTGAGTGTCTGGCACGAAGCGAGACAGACGCGCGGCGACGCCGAGCGAGGGCCCGAGCCGGTCCTCCACGCGCCGTGCGATCTCGAATCGCGCGTAGTTGGAGAGCGAGCACACACAAATACCACACAGCGCCTGGGCGCGAAACGCCGGCCGCCTCACTCTGCCTTTGCTCCCGCCTGCGCCCCCTTGACCGCGCCCGCCTTGTCGAGCATCTCCCGCACCTGCGAGCAGCGACGTCCGAAGAGGTGAGGGGAGGCTCATGCACGGAGAGGCAGGCGGTGAGAGGTGGTGGGGCACACCGCGCCTGCCCCTCGGACCAACCGCGCTGCGTGCCGAGCTCCTCGCTGCCTCGAAAGAGCTTGAAGGTCGGCATCGCCGAGATGCCCAGCTGCTTTGCCACGTCGGCTGCGTCGTCCACGTTCACCTGGGCGAGGACGGGAGTGTCCTGTGGCCAAAGGTCTGAGCGGAGGTGCGTGGCATCTCGCCTTTGCAAAGGTGACGTCGGGGTACTCCTCGCTCATCCTCGCAAAGACCGGCGCGGCCGCCTTGCAGGGAGGGCACCACGTCGCATAGCAGTCCACCTGTCGGAGCGCGGTGCTCGGCTCCTCGGTCGCGAGACCTCACGCGCTCCACCGCACAGGCCAGGTGCTGGGGCCCGCTCACGAGCGTGAGGCTGCTCCCATTCAGCAGGCTCCGCCAATCCTCGAGCGACTTGACAGCAGTGATGTTGCCGCCGTAGTCCGGCCACGGCTGGCGCGACTGGAACATGCGGTAGAAGATGTAGAGGACCATCAGCACGAGGATGGGGTTCTGCTGCACGAAGGCGACGATGGCATCGAGCGCCATTTTCTAACACGAACAAGCGGCTGCCGGCTAAGCGCAGCCACTCCCAGCTACGAGACTCGGTGTGAATGTCGCACCTCAACCTGTGGGGGGCCAGCGCACAGCGCCATAGGAGGTATTAGGTGCCCGGTAGGCTTGGCTGCAAAGGGGATTTTCGCGTTTTGTTTTTTTATTCAGGGTTTTGCAACTGATTCCGTTTGCAACAAACGGAATCAAGAAAAGAAACGACCGCAAAAGCAGGCGGCGTCTCGTGCTCGACCAGGATCGCCGTCCCGGCGCGAGAATGCAGCCGGGCTTGCCGTCGTGCAGCCCTTTTTGCTTCGGCTCGTCGTCAGCGACGCGCCAGTCCTGGCGCAGCCGCCCCGCCGTGCGGTCCACGGCCTTGCAGCCCGTCGACGCGCCCGACGACGTGACCGCGGCCGAGATGGAGGCCTTCATGGACCACATCCAGCCGAGCTTGTACCAGCCGCCCGACGACAGCGACATCGCCCATGAATTCACGGCGTGGCTGGCGGCGCGCCGCGAGACGTTGCGGACCGCCGCCGGTGCAGGCCGCCCTCGCGACTCGCAGGCCGACGTCGCCGCACCCGACGCCGCCGGCGGCGAGGAGTCGCCCGACAACGAGACGGGGCGCGCGACTCCGCCCGCACCTGCGCCGGCGGCGGCGTCCGGCCGCCGGCGCCGGCGCAAGCCGCTCGCCGGCGGCGGCGGCGAGAAGGAGAACGCGGACGTCGAGATGGACGCGCTCATGGTCGAGCGGCCCCGGCCTGCGCAGACGGAGCAGCGCTGGCGCGCCGTCCTTGCCGCGCGCCACGAGGATTACGACCGGGAGCTCGAGAAGGACAACCCGGAGCGGCCGTGGCACAGGGTGCCACACTTCCAGGGCGACGTCGAGGCGGAGTGCAAGCTGTGGGCAAGGGTCTCGCGTGCGCTCGGCGAGGCATACGCGCGTGACGGCTGGCGCATCGAGACCATCGAGTTTGACCCCAAGCGACCCGGGCAAGCCAAAACCGCGCGCGCCACGCGCCACAAGAGGCTGCGGGAGGCGGCGAAGCGGGCGGAGAGCAAGGCTGCGGCTGCCGCCGCCGCCACCGCGACGCCGTCGCCCGCCGCCGCCGCCGCGGCGGCGGCGGAGGCCTCGGAGGGCGCGGCGGCGGCGGAGGAGCTGAACGCGGTGCGGCGAGCGCAGGCAGGAAAGACCGCTGCACGGCTGTTCGAGCAGCTGGAGGACCGCTAGTAGGAGGGGGAGGGGGAGGCGCCTCGCGAGGCGTCAGCCCGCACGCCATCCATCGCCCCTGATGCCTTGCTGGGCGGTCTCCGACGCGCCCGACGGAGGACCCCTCCGAGCCGAAGGACGCGTACCCATCGGGGGACAACCCGCTGGGCGAGGGGGAGGCGACGGAGGCGGTCGAGAAGGACAACATCACCATCGCCTTCAACAGGACCATCGTCCGCGAGGTGCGGCGGCTCCTGCAGACGTACGGCGGCGATCACAGGCCGCCGAGCATGGGCGCTGAAATGCACTACGAGCTCGCTGCGATGGAGGGCCCGTACGCTGACCCGAACGCCTTCTCGTGCGACCCGGACTCGCTGTCCACGCAACAGCTCGACGCGCGTTTGCTACTGTGGTACCGGCAGTGCCTCCCCAAGCCGCCGCAATGGCGCGCCGACCCAAAGCTCAAGCAGCAGCCCTGGCGCGGCACCGATGGGCAGGAGCTGCTGCTGCCGCAGTGCTGGCCGTCGCATTGGCTGACGCGCGCGCGGCTGCTCGGCGCGCGGCGCGGCGTCGCGCTGACGCTGCGCGAGGCGGACGCAGAGGCGCACGGCGAGGCGCCGCATGCGCCGCAGCTCGTCGCGGACGCAAAGTTCGCGTTCGAGGTGGCGCTGCGCGAGCAGCAGCCCGCAGGCGCTCTCTATGAGAGCTACCGCCGCCTAGCGGCGGCTCTCGCGCACTCGCGGCGCACTCGCGCGGGGCTCGCGCTCCGCCACCTGGCCCTTTGCCCGGCGTGCAGCGACGCCCTCTGCTTCCCGGCGCAGCACCTCCCGGCCGTGACGCGCTACACGCTGCCGCCCGTGGTGCAGCGCGCCGGCTGCAGCGATTGCGACTACTTGGCGATGCGGCGCATGCTCGCCGCCCGCACGTCGTCGTACAACGAGTGCACCGCGAAGGACGCGGCGGAGTGGCTGCGCGGGCTCGAGCAGGCTGACGCCGTCAAGCACGCGTGGGGCGTCGTCGTCGTCGACGCCATCAACCGCCCGCCCCACGCGGCGACGCGGCTCGCCATCATGGAGGGCACGTTCGACCACGACTCCTTTGCCGCGTTCCTGCGGGCGACGCCCGGCGTGGCCGTGCCCTACTGTGGGGCGCATGGGCCGCCGCGGTCCGCGGCGGACGATGCGCCGATGCCGGGCGCGCCACCGGGCGCGCCGATGCCGGGCGCGCCGATGACGGACGCGCCAATCCCGGGCGAGCCGCCGGCCCCGGCGGCGGCGGAGGATGCGCCGATGCCGGGCGGCGGGCAGGACGCGCACCGTAACGGCTGCGCGTGCCCCGGGGGCTGCCTGGGCGGCCCCTCGTTCCTCCCGTTGGATCCGTGCTGCGAGTGCGAGGAGTGAGTCTCGTCGTCGCTTCCCACACTGCGCGGCGTGTGGGTGGGGGTCTCTGTTGATCACTGTACTGTACTCTCGCTCTCTCTCTCGCTCGCTCGCTCTCTCGCTCGCGCTCGCTCGCTCTCTCTCTCTCTCTCTCTCTCTCTCTCTCTCTCTCTCTGTGTGTGTGTGTGTGTGTGTGTGTGTGTGTGTGTGTGTGTGTGTGTGTGTGTGAGTGTGTGAGTGCGTGTCTCTCTGAGCTAATTCCTCTCCCGCCCGATCCTTGCTGCTTGCTGCGAGTGTCGGGGAGCGTGTGCGACCAGGGGAGTGAGTCTCGTCGTCGTGTCGGGGCGTAGCTGCTTTTTGGAAACATGTTTCTACTCGTTGGACCGGAGATGGGGGGGCAGGTGCACACCCCCTGCGCTGCTCAACCTCTGAGATGTTACTCCAGACACCGTACCGCCGTGTCTGTATCTCCCAACATCTCCCGGTCCCGCTACCCGCAGCTCAAAGCGACGTCTCCCCTAATCTCCACGGCACCCACCGCCCGCGCACACTACTCGCCGACGACTCGAGAGTCGCGCGCACGCACAACCCAGCCGTCGAGCAAGCGGGCATGACCAGAGGCGCCCGCGGAGGGACAACCGGGATCGCCCTCGCCCGAGCCAGAGCCAGCCCTGGCCCCTGGCCGCGCGCGCGGCCTTCTTTCTGGCCCGCATCCACCGCAGCGGCGGCCGCCGCTGCGAAGACTGCGGCCGCGCGACGCCTCCACGAGCATACGATCGAGCGCCCGGAGGGGCTCGGGCTGAGTGCCGTCGCGAGACCTCGGCACGCCTGCGCACGCCTGCGCACGCGGCAGAGCGACAGCGGCACCACCCTCGTCGGGCGCCGACGAAGCGTGCTCGCGGGTCGCCGCTCCGTCGACCGACGGCCGAGACACTTGCTCCGACGCCGCCCCGCCCCCGCCCCGCCGGTCCGGCACCGATATCTCGGAGGACGACCTAAGGAAGAGCGTGGCGGCGCGTCGCCGGAGGACGGCGCGCTCGTGCTCTCGCCGCGAGATCGAGGGGGGGGGGGGGGGGGGGGGCTT